GAACCCGCCACCTTAGGTGTACGTGGCTGGCGCCTTAGCCGGCATTTTACTATTTTGTTTTCCTAAATTATGGCATGAAAGTTGTAAAGTTTTTTTTGAGACAGAGCCTCAAGCTATTGCCCTAGTAGAGTGCCGTAGCGTCACAGCTCACAGCAACCTCCAGGTCCTGGGCTCAAACGATTCTCCTGCCTCCGCCTCCCAAGTAGCTGGGACCACAGGTGCCCGCCACAACGCCTGGCCATTTTTTGGTTGCAGCCATCATTGTTGTTTGGCAGCCCGGACTGAATTCGAACCCACCACCTTAGGTGTATGTGGCTGGTGCCTTAGTTACTCGAGCCACAGGCACCAGGCCAAAAGTTGTAAAGTTTAAGAAAATCTCCCTTAGATATCAGGAAAAGTCAGAACTTTCCTTCTGCCACTGGCTAAAGGCAAATTCCAAGCCTTATGTTCTCACTGAAGTCCAATATTAAGAAGCATTCTGAAAAATCAAAAACAAAATACAAAAACCAAAATGCTATACTAGACATAAGTACCGCAGCCTTAGTGATAAACATATAGTGAGAATATTTAAAATTAGTTACGAATACCCCTGAATGACTATAAATAACTTTCTATTAATCGTCCTTTTTGAATTTAGCTAAGTGTTCCCTTTTTCTTTTTAGGGCGCTGGGTCTCTATTCTAACTTCACATCAGTATCACTTAAAGAGCTTTTAAAGCTCAAGTTTCTAGGAAACATCCCAGAGTCTCTAGGGTTAGCAAGGGAAATTTAAAAACATTTTTCTTAAAACTCCACATAGTTGATTTTGATCAACATTCTCTCAATTCTCAACATTTAGAATTGAGAAAGAGGCTCGGCGCCTGTGGCTCAAGTGGCTAAGGCACCAGCCATATAAGGTGGTGGGTTTGAATCCCGGGCCCGCCAAACAACAATGCCGGCTGCAACCAAAAAATAGCCAGATGTTGTGGTGAGCGCCTGTGGTCCCAGCTACTTGGGAGGCAGAGGCAGGAGACTCGCTTGAGCCCAGGGGTTGGAGGTTGCTGTGAGCTATGATGCTACAGCACTTTATCCAGGGGGACAGCTTGAGACTTTCCTGTGCTGCTATTGTACTTTGCAGACTCTAAAACACCATCAAATTAAAATATACTATTTACTTCACAAAGGTTGGGAGAGCTTTGTCCATCTCCCTTTACCATACCACTACAGTTTAATGCTACTATTTAATTAATGCATAAATTATTAGTGTAAACTTCTTACCCTCTCTTTCTAGTTCATTCTAGATGCAGGTTCTTTGGGATAAAAATCATGTGGAAGAATTTAAAAATAATAAAAGAAAAAATTAAATAAAAAAATGTTTCAACAATGGAAAAGCAACAATTTAGGAAATTCCTAAGTAGCCCATTTCAGAATAATGCCTTGACCTCAGTACCAGCAAAACAACGAGTGAACGGAACCTCCCCAGTGATTAAAACCAATGTTTGGGGGTGGGAGAAAGAGGAAGAAAAGTTAAAGTGTCAACACTTGTTACAGACGCCATCCAAGTTGCTACAGTCAATTGCCCTGGTCTACATTAGAAATCAGTAATCTATGATGGGGTACCCGTTCGTTTTGGGCAGGGAAAAGGGAGTTCTTGGTAAACTGTAGTACTCTTACATCACAGTTATGCTGTTATTCTAAGGATGACTGATTGATTAACAGAATCTTGCTCTGTCACCTAGGCTGGAGAACAATGGTGTCATCGTACCCCAGTGCAACCTCAAACTCCTGGGCACCTCCTGATTTAGCCTCCTCAGTGTTTGGGACTACAGATGTGTGCTGCCACACCTGGCTAATTTTTTCCAGTATTTTTTTTTTTGTAGAGATAGGGTCTTGCTCTTGCTCAGGCTGGCTCTGAATCCTAGCCACAAGTATCTCCCATAGTGCTCAGACCACAGACCCAGCCAAGAATATACTTTAAACTATTGAAATCATCCACCACTGAATGTCATGCTTAAAGGAATCAGTGGTAAGAACTACTTATGATTTTATCAAGAACAAACTTACCTGAACTTTAACTTCTTGGTGACTGAGTAGAGGAACCAAATGAGGAACTATTCCAGAATCTATTACCATTTGTATTTGTTCATTGCCAGCATCAGTAAGGTAAGACAGGGCCCAGACTGTATCTACCAAAATCTATAAATAAAATAAAAATTTAAATAGCCTTGAGTATTTTCTCATTTTAATAACCCTTAACCATACAACCTATCTAAGATTGTTCCATTGCTTTCTTTCCTAAGCAATGGAACAACAACCTAAATTCATGGAAATTCTTGATATTATATTAAACATTAGCATCTATAAATGTCTGTACTAAGTATGTACATCTTTTAGTGATATTCAGGATATTTAGGTTAATTATAGTCCTAAACCCAGATTACTATCTCATCTTAATTTACTAAGCCATACACATATACTACATAGCATATAAAATAGGAGAAAGACATTATGCTACCTAAAGGCTGAAGGACAACAGGTTCAAAAACATTGTGTCTAATATATATACAGTAGAAGCCCTGAAAGAAACCACCCTGTAACTGGTCAACAGGAGAAATTAGGCCTGCTGTACTGATATGTACATGTGGTGCATTTCTGTTCTATGAAATTATGTCAACTATGGAGATTCTACTGTAACTGGAAAGACTGTACGTATCCGACATGCACAGTGGTTCAAAACATCTAGGCTAAATGGATATATTCAAGGAGCTCTTTAGAATTATGAGTACCATGGAGGTATGCCTAAAGCCAATACCCCAGTATTAGTATTATAGTAGTTTAGTTGTTTCCAACCATCTTGCTTTGCTTTATAAAATTGGAGGAAAATTCCTAAATAGTAAAAACTCCCCACAGCTGCAGATCAAGGTATTTTTAAAAACACAATCACAGGTCAACTTGCAAGATCTATGATTAAAAAAACAGTCCATTTGGCTCAGCGCCTATAGCTCAAGCAGCTAAGGCACCAGCCACATACACTAGAGCTGGAAGGTTCGAATCCAACCTGGGCCTGCCAAACAACAATGACAATTATAGCCAAAAAATAGCGAGGCACTGTAGTGGGTACCTACAGTCCTAGCTACTTGGCAGGCTGAGGCAAGAGGATCACTAAACCCAAGAATTATTATTATTATTATTATTTTTTATTAAGAGACAGAGTCTCACTTTATCCCCCTCAGTAGAGTACCATGGCATCACAGCTCACACAGCAACCTCCAGCGCTTGGACTTAGGTGATTCTCTTGCCTCAGCCTCCTGAGTAGCTGGGGCTTCAGGCATCCACCTGGCTATTTTTTTGTTATTGTTGTTGCAGTTTGGCCTGGGCTTGGTTTGAACCCACCACCCTTGGTATATGGGGCTGGCGCCCTACTCACTGAGCCATAGGCACCACCTTAAACCCAAGAGTTTGAAGTTGCTGTGACCAGTGACGCTATGGCACTCTACCCAGGGTGACAGCTTGAGACTCTGTCTCAAAAACAAACAAACAAAGAACAGCCCAGTTAAAAAATATATATATTTACACCAGCTGCTACTTATTTCCCACCTGCCAAAAAGGGCAGCCTCTGAAATTAAATTATATTTTAAAAAAAATGTAGGATGTTTTTCATGATTATATCTTTAAGTATAACAGGGCAGTATGACAAACTGTTAAACTGCTGCCTATAAATAATACAATTATTGACAAAGACACAGGCATTATAACTGTGTCTAAAATTTTACTTCCAAAGCCTTTCGGGAATGCAAACTCTGTCAAAAGTCAAGTCTGTATAAAACCTTTTTACAACTGACCAAGAAGCTCCTAAGAGGAGGGAATCAGTACTTTGCCATTGGTTCCTTCAGAAATTAAAGAAAAACTTGAAGGATATTTTTTAATGTAAAAAGAAGACATCAAATTAAAGAAATCACACAAAGAAAGTGGTCTCAACACATGTGAAACAACTAAATTCCAAGTTGCAAACGTAACTACTTTTTGTGGAGTATTATTAACATATACTAAAGTTTGTTGACACATATAAAAAATTTAAAGTTACTTGTTCATGACAACGTAAAACCAGATACATTTTTTTAAAAGTCGTGGTGCTAAACATGTCAATAATGTACTCAGACCAAAATCAGAACCCAAATCAAACTTCACTTCATATGTACTTTTATCAAAGCTTATATTCCGTGGCAAGTTTATAAATTACAACCACAGTATAATGTCAGCGTTTCACTTATGATTTGTGGAAGCAGTTCAAATTTTTCTTTTAACTTCTTTCATGGCCTGATTTAAGAACTTGTTAAGTGTTTACCTTAGAAGATTCTGTTTTTAGTAAACATTATATTTTTGTAAGCAGTTACTAAACATTTTATTAACAAGAAAAATGCAATATGGTTTGAGAAATTCTTCAGGATATAGCAAAAACAAGAAAAATGGAATCTAATCTCATCTAGATTGGGGTGAGAAAAACATTTCTGAATAAAGTCAACCAAGATGTTTGGTTTTCCAGCAGAGGCATAAACTTTGAGAATAAACTTTTGGAAAATCACCTAAAAGGAAAATACTAAAATTTACAATTAAATCAAAAGAACATGGCTATAAGGAGCCAAAACTAGAAACTGTTTACACGTTGTTAAGACCCTAGACTATCTGGAGCTAAAAACCAAAAGGTTTTAGCTTTCACGTCCACCTAGAATTCTGTACAACATGTCACTAACTGACATAGTACTACTCTACCTTTAAATTATTTCACAAGCTTTATAGAGCTTTCCAAACAAGGTGTAACTGTAAGAACAGAGACAAAAGCAGCTCATCACATACAGGTCACCACACCAAACTGTTTTTACAGAACCACACAAGCTCTTGGTGATTGCCACACATCTCATTCACGTCCTCTCCCTTACCCACTACACTCCCAGTTTCTGCAGCATACTAACAGTCTGACTTTTATAAGCAGCAGGGGCAGTTTTCTACCTCGTCACATTCCCTGAACTGTTTTTTTCTCTGCATCTGTATAGGTAAGAATAAGCAAAATATATGTTCAAAATCTTGTCTGCACTAATTTTTTTCTTGTTTGGATAATCAAGAGTTACCCTGATGAATAAAGTCAATTCAAAAGTTACTACAATTGGAAAAGTAAGAATAAAAATGGAATTAAAGAGCAAATAATGTTCATGGTTTGGTATACGTAAATACATGCAGTTAAGCAGAAATATTTCTCTCTTTTATCTTCCCAAAGCCAAAAATGTCACTACGTGTGTGTGTTCTCTTTGGCCAAGCTGTCAAAATGAACTTCCACAAACAGCTCATGAACAAAGACAAGATTTAGTGAGAGATAAGTGGCAACTTAAAAACTTTCAATGTGAGTTTTACAACACTAATACACTCACAGAACTGCTATTGCCCAGACCAAATAACAGATCTGCTTGTTTTCTTGACCAAAACTGTATTTTGTGATATAAACAGAGTACATATAAAAACACCAAATACACATTATAGCTGTTGAAATGGAAAAATCTGATTGCAAGTACACTGACAGGATGTCTTAGCATAACATTTTTCTCCTCCAAATGTGTGTGTGTGTGTGTGTGATATACATGTGTATATATATAAATATATGATGAGAAGCATTTACTCACATTTACGTCTGTGTGATGAATTAAAACACAAAGGGCTGGAAGAATCTGAGAAGAGAAATATATAGATTTTAAAACATAAATAGATAAAAAATACACATAATTGTATCTACTTTGATTAAAAAAAAAACTCATTTACCTCCTGAATGGTTTCCATTGGTGGTGGTGGGTCTTTGTGGCGACATAAGTTGACCATAACCCAAGTAACATTTCTTAAAAATGTTATAGGAATAGATGGACTTATGAAGGAAAGTAAGGGTTTCACAACTCCAAGACTTATGACATAATCTCTACATTGGGGCCCATCACCTATAGAAAGAAGGATTTATTACTTCAATCTTGACAATAAGAATTTTCAGAAAACAAAGCACAGGGTACAATATGCTCCTTCTGCACTTTAGTACTATTTTCTGTACTATTTAGTTTTATATAAAAGGTAGTAAAATAATCAAGTTCACATTCAAGGCCTTTGAACCAAAAGAAGTGACATAAGGTGCCAATGTATTCTTCTGCACATTATTCACATCTTCAGCTTTATAAACTGCTCCCTTATAAAATGTTTTTATGTCATCTAAACTCTGGAAGCTTAAGGGTTTTAAAAAATATTCTGTTCTTTTTGCCTGATGGTTCTATAAAAAAAAGGTAAAACATATTTTGTTGAGCAGAGAACTGTTGCTTTTTCCCTTCTCTCTCAATGGTACCCTTGGCCAGGGATGGTGTCTCACACCTGTAATCCTAGCACTCTGGAGGCCGAGGCGGGTGGCTTGCCTGAGCTCACACATTTAAGACCAGCCTGAGGCAGAGAGAGACCTCATCTCTAAAACAATAGCCAGACGTTGTGGCAGGTGCCTGTAGTCCCAGCTACTTGGGAGGCTGAGGCAAGAGAATCACTTAAGCCCAAGAGTTTGAAGTTGCTGTGTGCTGTGATGCCACAACACTCTACTGAGTGTGTGAGGGTGACATAAGACTCTGTCTCAAAAAAAAAAAAAAATCAATGGTACCCTTGGTTTAACAAACTTCAATAAAAAGATACATCAAAATATTATTAAAGAGAAAATATTTGTCCAATTTATATTTATAATCCAATATCAGAGCATCAAAAGAGTATAAACTATAGATTACTCCATATATTGAGAAAACTATGTCAGAAAAAAGGGGAGAACCAACAGTCTTAGACTAGCTGGTTCCCAATGTGATTTTTGAGCTTTAGCTCAGACTTACTGAAGCAAAAACTCTGTGAGTCCAGGACTCTGTATCAATGAACCTAGGTGGGATTCTTATAGCATTCTTAAGTTTGAGAACCAATGCTATAGAGAACTACCAAACTTAACTTCTGTAACTAGACTGTCACTGTAATTACTAGTGTGAAAACATGGATTACCATAGGTGAAAACATTTTTCCTTGCATTATATTTGAAGATAAAATATTTGCTCTTTTTGCTTCGATGTATTCTAATTAATTCCGGAGTATCAGTGGAATCAAAAGCCAAAGATTGTTCTAAATCTAAAATTTAGGATTAAAGCAAAGGAGTGAGGGATATAGAAACAACCAACTTCCTTCTGCTTGAGCATCATGGTACCAAAGGAAAAAAAAGAAAACAATAGCATTCTTATCGCAGTTAGTAGTACACCTTACACCAAATAGTTCACAGAGAAATCCTCTCTGAAAAACTCATAACCATCCCCTATACTGACCCTGTACAAGACCACTGAAGAGGAGGTATATCAAACTAATACTGATTACTTCCATGCAAGAACACGAAAGAGTCTGGCAGAAGTAATGTTTAGAATCCTGCTTCACTGAATTAGTGAGACCCCTAGAAAAAGCACCTGAACCCCACCTCTAAGCTTTGTGAACCAAGTGAGAAGAGCAATACAATTCAGATCCCAGATGTTTTATATTTTCTTCTGGAGGGCAGTTCTTCAACTTTTTGAATTTGGGTTAAGTTAGGCTTTAGGTAAAAAACAAATCCTTGAAATATTAGAAATGTCTTCAATACATTAACTGCCATGTGAGTTGAATTTAACTTATTATGCTAGTTTTCACTCTGGGGTCTTGTGAAGCATATATAACTCACACATCTCTTGACCTAATAAAACACCCTAACCTCAAGGAAAAAATATTTTTTTCTAGCCTGTCAGTCAATGTTTTAATCATTGTCTCTACAATTATTTATCAGAAAAAAGTGATAGGTATGGTAAAAACATACCTTGATGTTAAACATTTAACTTGACTGTCAACAAGCTACAGATATTTTCTATTGACTCATGAAGATAGTAATATAATATTACTGTATTTTATATATTACTAAATTTTAATGTACTAAAGTCTGCAAAAGATATACAATGATTTCATTTTAGACTCTTCTCAGAACTACCCTGTATGTGGTAACAATTGCTGGACTGGTATTCCACTAAGTTTTATACAAACCTATGATATTTCCCAGTGCCCACACGGCTTGCTCACAGACATTCTGATGGGGTGAATGGAGAAGCCTCAGGAAAAGTGGCACAGCATCTGAAGGAGGAAAACGTAAATTCACACTTAAAGTTGAAGACAACAAATGCTAAACCAAAAATCAATCTTGATTTTTCTGCTAACCTATCAAAAATATATTGTTATTTAGTGCTGTTTATTAAAATAGCATTATTAGAAGTGTTCTGACTAGCAGACTGCTTATTCAGCATCAAAATGAGTTTTGAAATACAGGCAAATATTAAACTTATAAAATTTCACTCATAATTAAATCTGGATTTATTTCTAATTTAGGATTTATTCTTATAGATTAAGTATTATCCTCAAATTTTAAAAGTCCAATTGTTGAAGTAACTTGAATACACAAATTTAAATTAACACTATGTGGTTCTTTGGACAGGCTAGTGATTTCTGGGCCATATGAGACCTTCTGAATCAGAAAGTGATTCTGTTACTCAACAAGGATAGGAAACAGATCCGTATCTGAACATGTGAAAAAAATATTGGACTAAACAACTTGTCTTCCTTCCTCTGATATACGTATTATTTTGTAAGATGCTACTTAAGTATATGTAGATTATGTTTATTTATAATAAAAATTAATTCATTTATCCATTATTTTTCATTTATTAAAACAGACTAGCAATATTAAATTCTAAGCCTCTTTCTAATAGGTAACATAAAACAGAAAGGAAAAAAAGTGAGGACTTACCTAATACAAAACACCCCCCCCCAAAAAAAAACACAACAAAAACCACCTAAACACAAACCAAAACAGTTTTAGTAGGATTTCAGGTAATTATCTTTTCTAAGTAATACTACAACAAAAACAACTTCATAATAAAATGTTTACTTGGATAATACCTTTGTTTCCTTTCAAAATCATGTAGAAATCCGTGTTTGCAATTTTAACAAGCCTAGCTAACTACCCTACTTATATATTTAACTACCTTCTTTAAAATTATTAATTTCTGTTTGACAGAAGAATCAAACAACATTCACGTAAACAATACACTTTATTACTTCTGATAATAACTTTCCACATACATCTCTTGAAACATAAAAGATAATCAATCTTATTAAAAATAAGTGATAAACTGTTCAAATCATTCACTTGATCAGACTACTTTATATAAAATTTCTTTAATATTTGATAGCAACCTCAATAAGAGCAGCTGAGAGGCAATATGACAATGGGAAAAACTCCTTTATTCCTACCAATATCCTATAAATAATGTGACAATAATGTAACCTGCTACTGTAATTAGGAAATGTCCTCACATTTAGAAAGGAATCAAGTGAATTTGGGGGAACAGAAAATGTTAGTTATTTCAAGAAGATGATTAATGTAATACTTAAATTAAGGTGGTCTATTTCAATAACCCTATGTGTGACTTAGTAGCTATTATTTTATACATAATAGCTATTTACAAATAACTATGTTCTTTTAGGAAAATCATTTTATTTTTCTGACTCTATTTTTAAAAATGGGAATTTTGTTTGTTAATAACTTACTGGACTGAACTACTGCTTGAGTTTGTTCTGAGGTTCCAGATGCAATGTTTGTCAAAGCCCATGCAGCCTCGAACTGTAAAGAAGGACTACAAAAGAGAAAAAAGAAAAAGTAGAGATTTCTATGTTGCCCAAATATCTACTAAACATTCAGCATTTTAGATGTAGTAAATATTTTGTTTCAAAAGATATCTATCGGGTGGCACCTGTGGCTCAAAGGAGTAGGGCACTGGCCCCATATACCAGAGATGGCGGGTTCAAACCCGGCCCTGGCCAAAGGAAAAAAAAAAAAAAAGGCATCTATCCATCCAGCTTTTTTTTTTTTCACCCTCCCAGGACTGTTTAAAAATATCTCTTCAGTATAAAAAGCTCTTCTGTCCTTATTTTTAATAAGGACTTTTTATTAAGATATTTGCCCAATATTCCTCAGTTTTCTCAAGTATATATTTGGTCAAATTAGCTCTTGCCAATTTTCAAAGCTTAAAAACTAAATTCTTCATTCTCAAGGTCCTTGTTGTCCTTTACCTTCATCTGCTGGCATTAGTACACCTTTTGCCTTTTCATTTCCATTCATAGCTCCTTTTTCTTCTCTTTTCTTTCTTTCTTTCTTTTTTTTTTTTTTTGAGACAAAGTCTCACTGTGTTGCCTTCAGGAGAGTGCTGTGGCATCACAGCTCATAGCAACCTCAACTTTTGGGCTTAAGCAATTATCTTGCCTCAGCCTCCCAAGCTGCTGGAACTAAAGGTGCCTGCCACAATGCCCGGCTATTGTTTTGCTGCAGTTGTCATTGCTGTCTGACTGTCCCAGGCTGGGCAGCCTTGGTGTTCGAACCCACCAGCCTTGGTATATGTGGCCAGCGCTGCAACCACTGTGATATGGGTGCCGAGCCCCCTTTTCTTTTTCTTTAAAGATCAAACTACTAGAAAATCTGGCCTTCTCCCAAAGCTATATCCCAAACTTTTAAAAGATAATGTACTTACTTGTCATCTCTTTCAAGACAATGGACTAATATAGGCAATATTCCAGATTTTATTAAGTCATCAATTGGTGGATTTCGATCACTGGACAAAAGCTTCCTGTAAGAGATATAAATAGCCTACATGAAACTTAATGGCATATAATATCATAATTAAATTTAAATTCACATTTGACAGACATTATCATAAATCTGAATATGTAGTATAAGTACCCTCTCTGAAAGTTTTACTTTTTATAATTTACATAATGCGTCCACTTCTCCAATTATAAAAAGATTAATTTATAAATTAAATTTACAAAGACCACCGATAATTAGGAAAATATGACAGACATAAACTACTTCATCAATTTTATCAGTACAATATTATTCCCTCAATAAAGTCCTGACCACAACTTATAAAAAGATAATTAAATGTTTAGCATGTATTATGTCTGCCCTTATTTTTGAGCTCATAGAAGTGGGTAAACTTCAAAACAGCATTTACCTTGCTAAAAAAGGAATTAAGAAGTCACCAAAATACTCAAAATTATTCACACTAGGTCACAACAAAGTCAAAGGACAAAAGCAGGCAGGCTACTGGCATATCTGATATTTATAGCAGATACTAGTACTTCATTCTTCTCCATTTATCTTTTTTTTGAGTTTTATTTTGTCAACCTCAGTAGAGTTCCATGACATCACAGCTCATAGTAACCTCAAACACTTGGGCTCAAGAGATTCTCTTGCTTTAGCCTCCCTAGTAGCTGGGACTACAGCCACCCGCCACAGCACCTGGCTATTTTTTAGACACGGGATCTTGCTTCCTGAGCTCAGGCAATCCACCCATCCCAGCCTCCCAGAGCACTAGGATTACAGGCATGAGCCACCACACCTGGCCTTAGTACTTAATTCTTCATACTACTTTATATACTAAACTAAAGGTCATAAAAGTAAGTCCAATAGCATTCTCATATCAGCAACTAAAGAGAAATGAAATAAGGACAGTAAAACATAGGAAAAGATCCTGAAAGATGCTAGAACTATTGAGGTGGACAAGACATACATTCCTGCTCTCATGGAACTTACAGGATCCAAAACAAAACCTAGTGCCTATTTTCCCATGTGGTAAACCGTAGATTTATAGCTGATAAATCCTCTATGTGGCCTAACACAAATCTTTTATCTGCTTTAACCTCTGGCATCACTACATAAAGGCAATGTTTAATAAGTTTAGCCAGATCACTGCTCTATATAAACTAAACAATGGTTGCTTACTTACTACTTTATCAATGTAAACTCCTTGACTAGCTTTAAACTGCTCTACAGATTGGCTCCTTACCCAACTAATCTGAATCTATGTAACTCAGCAATAGGTCAAGTTGTCTGTCATACCACTTAAATCTTATTTCCATCCTTCATATCCTATTCCCCTCCCTTGGAATTCCTCATCCTCAATTTGAATAATTCAAAGTCTACTTCAAGTTCTATGTTTTACACAACACTATCTTTGAATTCTAAGAGTATTTACATAACATAATCCTATGTCTATTACTGAGAATTAGTTTGGGACCATTGTTTTGATTTGTGCTGAGGTGCCAGTAGTTTTGCCCATACTTGCTTTTCAACATCAATGTAAAGCTTAACATAGTGATAAAAGGCAAATAAAGTCTTAGAAGTATTACGAAACTTTGTTTGTTCCTGGTATTGTCTCAAAATCTCTCAGGGATCCATAGATCATACTTTGACAACCTCTTGTCTTGGGGATATTGGGCTTTAATTTTCTTGCAGAACTCATGTTGAGAAGAATTATACCAAAACTGGCTCGGCACAGTGGCTCACACCTGTAATCCTAGCACTCTGGGAGGCTAAGGAAGCTAGATAGATCACTTGAACTCAGAGGAGTTTAAGACTAGCCTGAGCAAGAGTGAGACCTCACCCCTACTAAAAGTAGAAAAACTAGCCAGGCATAGTGGCACATGCTTGTAATCCCAGCTACTTGGGAGGCTAAGGCAAAAAGATTGCTCAAGCCTAAGAATTTGAGGCTGCTGTGAGGTATGATGCCACAGCACTCTACCTAGAGTGACCCAGTGGAACTTTGTCTCAAAAAAAAAAAAAAAAAAAATCCCCAAACTACCAATTATTCAACTGACAATGGTGAACAAAATCAATTTCTTAATCATACTTCCTATAAACATTAGTCATTTGGAGATGTGAATGGTTCTCTGATTTCCAGTCTATATTAACAAAGTCCTCTCTAAGAAGTTCTTTTACCTGTGGTACACAACCTTGTAATTCTGTAATTTCCCTGCCCTAGGTTATTTAAGCCAAATACACAAAAGTGAGAAAAGTCTAATAAACATAAAAGGGATCTGTGCACTCCCTTTTGACTCCTGTCAATTCTTTTTCTACTTTGAAATTTCACAACTTGGATCAACTGCTTGCTTAAATATCTCTTTCTTACTGATAATCACAATACAGGGTATTACTCTTACAATTATACACATACAAAGCAAGCATAGTATACATATTATCATACAATCATGTCTTCGTCAATGTATTTGTTAATACAAAGGTCTCAGTAGTATTTCTGTAGTTCTTATCTTAAAATCAGAGTATAGGTTTCATAATAGAAATGTGCAAACCAACTTGGTATCTCCTACCTGGGAAGACACTGGAGGCGTTTGCAGCCCTAAATCTTTTTTTTCTTTGAGACTGAGTCTCACTCACTCTGTCACCCTGGGCAGAGTGCTGGGTGGAGTGCCATGGAGTCATCATTGCTCACAGCAACCTTAAACTCCTGGGTTAAAGTGATCCTCTTGTCTCGGCCTCCCCAAAGTGGGACTACAGTCTTGCACGACTATGCCCAGCTAGTTTTTTCTATTTTTAGTAGAGACGTAGTCTCTCTCTTGCTCAGGCTGGTCTTGAACTCTTGAGCTCAAGCAATTCACATGCCTCGGCCTCCCAGAGTGCTAGAATTAAACAGAGCCACTACGCCCAACCAGCCCTAAATCTTAAGTTTCTGTTTGTCTATACCAGGGGTCCTCAAACTATTTAAACAAGGGGCCAGTTCACTGTCCCTCAGACTGTTTGAGGGCCACACTGAGGGCCCCAGGATGAGTTGGCTGCTAAGCAGGACAGGCAGCAGCGGCAAAAACACCTGGTGGGCCAGATAAATGTCCTAGGCAGGCCGCATGTGGCCCATGGGCCATAGTTTGAGGATGCCTGGATACACTGATGTATGAACTTATATGTCTTGATTTATTGTTTGATAAAAGGACTCAGAAAAATTAGTTACCTGATAAGGCTTTGAAGAATCTTTTTATAAAATTAAACCGTAATTAGTAAAGAGCAAAGCTTCATAAATAAAAGTTTTCCTATTAGTCTATGGCACTAATTTGTCAAATCAATTTTTTCCTAGCATCTGTATGTATATTTTCAACTTAAAAAATTTATGATTTTTAAGCACACCAGAGAACAATTTTTAAAAATAAATTCAGTTGGTTCATGACTGTTTACTGCTATTTGCTATAAAAGTTAAATTTGATTGACAGGACTATTATATAGTAAAAAATCCAAAATAAAACCCCTGTGTAAGTTATAAAATTTAATTATGTTCTCAAAATTTAACTTACCTAGCAGCTTGAACTGCACTTAATTGAATTCCTTGGTTATCACTTGAAGCATTCTATTAAAAAAAACCAATTTATGATGTAAATAATCAATAATAGTTGTTGAGCACAAGAAATATAAATGAAGATGGGAAAAAAATAACTTACTTGTACAATAGCTTCTAGAGAGGTATTTTGCTGGGAAAAAAGAGAAAAAAAAAACTATGTTAACATGTCACTTTACAATTCTATATGTATGTGTCATCTTTCACTAGTAGTTTTAAAGTTGTCAGAATAACAACTTACCACTCTATAATCACCATCTATATCAGAGTCTTCACAGATGTCTTCATGTGGTACATTTCTTCTCTTTAAGAGATGTTCATCTCTTTTATTCTTAAAAAAAATCAAAGAACTTCAGTTTAAAAAACAATCTAAATACTTTCATTAAAAAGTAAGGCAAGCATGTGCCTACAAACTGAAATATATAGTACCTTTAAAAAGTAAAATTCAAATGCAAAAAATTAAACCATATTGTGAATTAAACACTTAAGCAACACTAATTTGAATCCCAAACTCCAAATATTCCATTTTTAATGACCAGTGAACTATGTAAAAATAAACAAAACAAAAATAAAAGTTTGACTACAGAAGATAGTGTCTAGTTTAAGCCAGAACCAAACACACATATTTATTTGAAAGTACTAAACCATTTTATACATCATCTAAAAGCTTTTCTTTATCACCTAAAAGCAAAGTCAAAGCAAAAGTTGGGAGTTCAAAATTAGACAAAAGCAATGCCTGACAAAGCTCAAGGGCCATTTGATTTCATTTAAAATGTTTGAGGCAAATTTTCAAATATATTTTCAACTACAACCTACCTCAATACTTGAAAAGTTGATGGAATTTGTTAAGTAACAACAAGTTCTGTTCAGGGCATAACCACTGTCCATTAACAGCAGAACTATTTAGTATAACAGTATCTCTATGACTTATACTTTATAAAAATCATTAAAAATTACAAAAGAAAAAAAATCCAATAAGTTGTCTATGGGTAATGAAGAACTGTATCCCCTCAACCTCAAAAGGTGTCAAATTTAATCAAAATTTCTTCAAAAGAAAAAGAAATGCTAAGGAGTTGAGATTTTTGAAAGCTTAACTATATTAAGTAAATAAAACATTTTACACATTTTACATAAATACATATTTGATATTCTGTACATACACTATAACACTGCCAGAATTATGCCTAGAAATATCCAATATTAATCACTCACCTTCCTTAATTCAACTACAACTTCATTCCGTTGTCTTCTCATAGTCTATAAAAAAATCAGTAATATTTTAAATATCACCTCAAATTCCATCACCCAGAGAAAACTATTAACATTTTAATGTATACTCCTAATTTTTTCTGCTAGTCCAAGTCATATTTTACTTATAATAAAGATCATACTATCACACCAAATAGATGGCTTTGTATCTTCGTTTTACATTTCAATATACTGAAAATCTCTTTGAAATTATCAGTTAATCTATAATACTGAATATATCAATTTTAAAAACTGTTAATATAAGGTTTATAAAAATATAGAGGTACAAAGAATAAAAGAGCCCATAATCTTACTCCCTGTATTAATGAACCAATGACATTATACAAAGTAACACATTTACAAGGTTAATAAATCCAGAAAAAAAAGCAAGCCTAGGGAACTTTTCAGCTCACACATAGTCTTTTTCTCTAAAAGTAAACACTACTAGATTTATTATCAGTTGGATACACATGTACTATTTATTCTGTTCCTCACTTTATTTTGGTTTATCTACAGACCTTGATTTATAGATCTCCCATGGTGGCATAAACGTATTTCATTCTTTCCAATGACCATATAACTATTCTATCAAATACTGTGACCATTCTCTTATTTTTAAGTATGTTTTCGTCATTTATAAGTTACCTATTGTATCAATACATACTTACTGTAAAAAACATTCAAATGTTTAGAAATAATACACATTCAAGTTGTTTCTACATATGGGTTCACCTCATTCTTTCTAATGACTGCATATCCCAAGACATATTAAACAGAAATACAAGTCACAAAGTATTACTTAGAAGTCTAATAAATACCTCAAGCTTATATCCAAAATTGAACTTTTGATTTTTAACAAACATACTCTACTCCTATCTTGGCAAAGGTCAATTCTACTCTTGCAGGTACATAAGCCAAAAACCTTGCAGCCATTCTTGATTCTTTTTCTCTCACTTACACACCCAATCTGTTACCAAATCCTGTTTCTAACCTTCAAAACATATCCAAAATCCAAACACGTATCACTACCTCCTATGCAACTACTCTAGTCTAACTTACCATTATCTCTCACCTAGATTAATACCAAAAGCCTCCTAACTTGTACAACCCTCCTGCTCTTGCTCTCTATTATTCCTTCCCAGCCTATTATCACATCAACCAGAGGGAACCTTACAGGGAGTCCTAATTTTTATGTGCAATGGGTTCTTTTGGCAACCTGGTAAAATCAGTGGACACCTTTTCAGAGAGTATTTATAAATACGCAAAAGAAATACACAGATTTCAAAGGAAAGGAATTATGTTGATATACAGTTATCAAAAATGATTCAATATGAAAAAAAAAATATATGAGTATTTATTACATTAAACGGCTTCTAGCAGTGGGTCTAATAACTACTATATTTTCAAAATAATGATGACCATAAGTGATATTTCAGGATATCTGCAACAAAAACAGTGTGATTTTTATTGACAGTGACAAATTCAAAGGTAACTAATACTACTATGGTTTACTGGCTGCATTATTAAGTAAAGAAATACTGCCAGCTAAAAGTTAGTGAAAATAAAGATGAAATTTTTTTCTGAGTTCTCAGGTCTTCTTGAATGTTGCCTACAAATTCTGAGGGAGGAAAGGTTCAAGGCCTCAGTAAAACACTTCTAAAAAGTCAATCAAGATCACATTACTCCCCTGTACAAAACCATCCAACTGACCACCACTTCAGAGTAAAAGTCCATACTTTGTATATAGTAGCTTAAGTCCAGTCAAATACTCTCATCATATCCACTGCCTGCTTTTTTTTTAATTGTTGGGGATTCATTGAGGGTATAAGAACTAGGTTACACTGATTGCTTGACCTTTTCATGTCAAAAGACCACATTAATTTAGCTATACTCAAGTAAGGCCACATTCAAGAAACTTCAATTAGATACACATAAAAATGTATATTATTTTGTCATTAATTACTACATACTTAATAACTTTTAAAAATCACAACTGTTAATTTTAAAGTTAATAATTCAATTACTGGGCGATGCCTGTGGCTCAAAGGAGTAAGGCGCTGGCCCCATATGCTGGAGGTGGCGGGTTCAAACCCAGCCCAGGCCAAAAACTGCAAAATAATAATAATAATAAATAATTAAATTACTTAGTTGTGTCTGCTTTCTGTTGGAAAGCATTTGAATTTTGGTTGCAGCATGAAGGCTGGCAATTTTAGGTGATCCTCTAGATAAGGTCAGTGATTTGTGACCTTAAGGGTGTCTTGATTTGGGTTAGGTAAAAGAATGTACAAGGTGTCCCCAAAGTCACCTAAAGACATCATACATAGGGAAAATGGGAAACTGCAGCTAAATGTACATTTACAAAATATTCATTACAAAATATTTATGAAATAGTCTCTACATGTTGGCCACTTCTTTGCAAAATTTTACACTGAATATTTTTTAAATACATGTACATTTAGTTACAATTTCCCATTTGCCTTATGTATGGTGACTTTTGGGACCCCATATAGACTCAGAGCAATATGTGGATAAAAAGCAAAACTTTTTTTTTTAAGGTATTCTATTGCTATTTTTCCACATTTCAACTAGATATTTCTTAGCATCAAGCAATGACTATTTTAATGTCATCTACTGAGAGTTCAGTCAATTCCATCTGTACTCCTTTTGATACCTTGGTCATATCAACTAGGTGAAGCTGGAAAGCTAACTTGAGTGTGATGTCATGATTCTCAGAGTCCTTGAACTTTTCGTTGTATTCTCCAATTAATAAGTCTATAAACGTATTCTTCAAGTGATTCCCATATATCGTCCTACTGATCAATAACCTTTGCTAACTGGGTAAAGTGTTCATCCAAAATTTCCTTTTGAAAAAGGTGTGTTCTGAAAAAGACAGCATTTTTGAATCCTTGGATTTTTTTGCCATGTACAATATAACTTAGTTTTACTTTGTAAAGAGATACTCGGGTCATTTTGATTTGACATGATCACACAGAAATGCTGCATTCCTTTATAAATCTTCTTTTAATAATTCACATTGTTGATTCTGTTCTTCATAAAATTTAACTACCTGTTGTCAAAGAGATAAAATGCGATAGACAATGCACTTTAGAATGATACTGAATACATCACTCAACTTTAGCATGTTACAAAACTGATGACACTCTACTGTGTTTGCACAATATAGTTAATAATAGCTGTAACTTGTTTTAACAAGTGTCATTTAAAATAGGAGCCTTAGTACAGACATTTTCCTGATGCAAAGTAATGATGAAAAGAAATGAGAGCATCTGAATCTGTTAATATCCTTTTTAACTACACGATAAACCCTTTATGGTTTCCTATCATGGAAAGTGCACTGTCTGTACTCTCAATAAATTTAGGAAATTCAGTCCAACTTCATGACAATTATCTTGAAAGTTGTTGAAGATATCTATTCTCTGTGTTCTGCTCACAAGACTGCCCAAAGTGAGTTACTCTTCACTGTCAAGAAAATCTTCTGTTAAGACCCAAACGAAGTATAAAATCCGTGCCAAGTCAATAGTATCAGTTGATTTATCCAAAGCAACTAAATAATACATATTTTCCTTTTTAAGTATTGTATGAAGTTGTTTTTAAAATTTTAATATTTTTGTGAAGACAGGATTTCCCTATATTCCCAGGCTATTCTCAAACTCCTGGACCCAAGTGATCCTCCTACCTCACCCTCCCAAAAGTGCTGGAATTACAGGTGTTAACTACCATGTTGGCCTACATCAAGTTTTGTTAAGACCTATTCATTTTATCTTTGCTTAAGTGAAGCTAAGGTACAGATACAGATTTTTAAAATATTAGGACTCAATTTAAAAATGCTTCTGAAGCAGGCTATGAAATGAATAAAAACAATTAGCTATGTACTACAATAATTGTTTTAGCATCTACCATTTCTCATTTAATCTTTACAATTTTATGAGGTAAGGGAAAAAAGCCTTTATTTCCTTTTACAAACAAGGAAACTGAAGCATAGAGAAGTTAAATTACTTGCTGAATGCTGGCCAGGATTAGAACCCAGTGTTTTACAAAGCTACTAGAACAACTACGTCATACTGATTCCACTTGCCTGGAAGTCAAATAGCATTCCACTCAATTTGAGAGCCTACAGTTCTCACTAAAGCAAAAGTACTACTACCAAGACAATGAGTTATGCATAGTATTACAATATAAAATCATAAATGACTCATAATAAGCAACAAAAAACTATGTCCTAGGTCTCACACAAAGAAAATATTATCTGTATTTAAAACCCCTAGATAAAAGAGCCCAAGTGGAGACTCCCGAGAGAGTTCTTCAGTTCTTTCCCCCTTCCAGAAGCTCTGGTGCTTTTTTCTTGCCTTTCTAACTTCTAATAAAAGTTCTACCTTACCACTAAAAAAAAAGAAAAAAAGAAAAAGAAAATATTATCAGTAAAATGTCCTTAAAAGACTTTTTGAGAAATTAAATAAGGTAGACTTCTGATAGATAGAAGTATTTCTTGTCTAAGAAAAGTTTATATGATTAATCAAAAGTAGCAGGACTGAGGTATAATGGGCATTTCAGTAGAGAAAATTATCATTATTATTATTATTTTGAGACGAAGTTTCACTTTGTCACTCTACATTACGGTAGAGTGCCGTAATGTTATAGAGCTCACAGCAACCTCAGACTCTTGGGCTCAAGAAATTCTCTTCAGTAGCTGGTAGTCTACAGGTGACTGCCACAACGCCCAGCTATGCTTAGAGATGGGGTCTCACTTTAGCTCAGGCAGGTCTTGAACTCGTATACTCAGGTGATCTGCCCACCTAGACCTCTTAGAGTGCTGGGATTATAGGCATAAGCCATTGCACCTGGCCTTTATAGAAAATTATTAAATAAATAAAATCCGAAACAATTATATATTGCATATCTACAAAACTGTATTTTTTAAGGTTTTATTTTTTTATTAAATCATAACTTTGTACATTGATGCATTTATGGGGTTCAGAGTACTTCTTCTA